GATTGAAATTGCCTATTGGTTTAACATTACGGTCTTTGACAGCGTCACCGTTTCAACGGTGCCTCTAGGAGGGTTCGTCGGTTTAAGACATCTTTGAAGAGGTTTGGGATTTGGGGGTATCATCATCATCATCACCATCAGCCTATTAGAGCCCACTGCTGAGCAAAGGCCTCTTTCTCACATGGAGAAGGTTTGAGCATTAATCACCACGCTTGCTCATTGTCAGGAGATAGAATTACATGATGACTCAAACATCGAAACGCCGGAGCAACGTGTATTAAGCGCACCTCGTCTCGACCGGCGAAGTGTGTTACTACTCTTTAGATAAACAGTATGACTCTGACGAAAAATGAATTTGTTTACATTGAAAGAACACCTTATCAATACATATTATAAAATAAAGTCCCCGAAGCGACTATCTGTCTGTCTCTGTTCACAATAAACGAAGAAACTACTGCACCAATTATCAAGCGGTTATCACCATTCGACAGCATGACTCTCGACAAGTTTTTAGTATATAATTTATTAAGGTTTTGTATTCATTTGTGTACATTAACTATATTTGTTGAAGATGTCGGGAAAAAATGAACCATATGTCATCTTGTGTTGTGTATACATTATTTAGGAACCAAAACATATGTTCTAAATGAACTTTATTACAAAACCGGCATGTATTGACCTGTGCCAAACCAGCATTTGATTTTATTATTTTACCGATAGCACGGGCTCATCTATCAATAGAGAGAGAGAGTTCATTTTGCTGGAAACTGTTTTTATTATTAAGTAATTTAACAAGTATTTTTTAATAAAAAAAAAATCAAAGCTTGTTAGTGACTTTCTTTGAGATAATATTCTAATTAAAATAGTTGTATTCAAACCAATTCTAATACATTATGTTTAAGAATAAAGAAAACATATCTACCTCATGTGTATTTATCAGCCACTTGATATTTTATCAATATTAACTGATAATGTTTAATTTCGTCGTTGTTTTTAACTAATTATATATTTATCAACATTCCTTTTAAATGAACTCGATTTGTAAATGACTTTATGATGTGTGGTCATAAAACGAAACAATATTTAAGATAAATTATTAAAATTTTCATGTTATTATTTCTATTAGTTCTTCGTCCATTAAGATTTTTATTTATACTATTTCAATTTCATAGAGTGTATGTGATACTTATTTAAATAATTAAATTAACTTATTTAAATAATTATAAATATTAACAGAGTAGGTAAAACAAATAATGAAACATAAATATATTTTTCTTTATTATATATTTTATATATTAATGCTGTATCTAACAAAAAGAGAATTAGAATACAAAGTTTAGAACAATCAAATTAGTATATTGAAATTAAACATTAAATTATATTTCATTCTTTAAACAATGAACAGACACACACACACACACACGTAGCCTTAAAATACACACACAGATACACACACACATCAGTATTATGATAAGATAATAGCGTTACGAGATCTGGGCTGGTGTTATCAGTCCTCATCGTGATAACGAAGCAAGCTGGTTGCAGCCATGACGCCACACACCTAACACCATGGTACGTTGTAAATATTTGACTAATTGTTATAGGATTTAAAATATATAACACTGCATATAGGAACTTTTTACAATATACAATCAGAATAACTTCCGACCTTTGCTTTATTAATTTGCATTAAAAAGTTTTAGTGTCAGTGATGATAGAATTATGTTTTTTTCATTTATCTTATTTGTTACGTCAAATTCATCCAGTGACATATTTCATTAAATTTAAATTATTTATCAATCCTTACATTTGACATATCTAAATTGCGTCGCAGTACAATAGTTAAATGAATCGAAATATTTAAATAAATCTATAAGGCTGTGTAATAATTTCTGTAATACTTGTTCAAAATATTTAATTACGATTCCCGATAACTTTCACCCCATAGATTATAAACCGGTGATAGATTTCATGTTAAACTAGATGTCAGATGTCTTCCTGGTGTCAATTTCTCTCTTAGTATGTTCAATAATTCTCTAATACTCTCACTACTTGTAAAACTAATGTCAATAAAATAATAAATACGTATAATGATATCATATGTGAATATTCCTTGTTAAAGGAATTTCAACCTACTTAAGCTATCATCTATAGAAATATCAGGAATTCTTGAGATAAAACCGCTAGAATTACTTTATCATGATAGTGAGGCAACGCCGGATAGAGTGATATTAAAAAAAACAGTAATGTTAAAATAAGTATAATATATAAAAAAAATAAGTATAATATATAAAAGTATAAAATAAAGAGCTTTTTCGTGTTTTAAAACTTATTTTTTTTCTTTTAATACTTGTTATATAGAAATTTAATTCTGCATTGATTCATAAATATATTTAAAAGGTTAATAAGATGAATCTAATAAGTAATATTGATAGAAAAATACAAAATTGAATTTGTTTTGAATACTAGTAGCGACATCTTTTAGACTGTCTTAAAGTATTATTAACGTGATTTGGACTTTCTATTCTAGATGGCGCTTTAAATATTTCGCTCTAATATTAAAATATCCGATATGGAAATATTTTTAAGAAAAAGAGTGTGTGTACTTATTTAAACGCGTAAAAAGTTATTTTTCTTTAGCATATGAAAAAAAAACTAAATTGCTATAGTGATTAAATTTTAATATAAAAATTAATCAAAGAGATTTTATTCAAATAAAAAAAGTTTTACTAACGTAAAAATATGACAACACATTAAAAATATTCAACCATTAATCATAAGGGCAATGAAACAAATATATTAATAAATGTTTCAAATAGAGGGTTTTATCCAAAATTAAAACTTACTTATTATTTTTTCATCACAAAACTCTCTATTATTTGTTTCGTATCAATATCCGGAATCCATCTTGAGTGACATGTTTGTTATCTCCTGGTGTTTTATAGAATTGTTGACGCTATGATGTGTAGTAGGAAGATTAGCTGAAAATAAAGAACTAAAAAGTTTCTAATTTTTAACCAACGGATTAAATTTAATTAACATTAGGTTGACTTATCTATTAGATTTCAATGAACTAGGTTGAAATAATGAGATAAAGACATAGATCATGAGCTCGAATTATGTGAATTATAATCAATTAATTCCCTCTGGTAGTCATTTTGGAATGTGTGAATCATTTTCAAACTACTAGTTGCTAGTACTTGATCTATAGGAAAGTTTTCAATGAACTTAAGGGAAGCCACGGCTGATCTTACTGAGCCTGGTGACGCTTCAATATCAGCTTTTTTTAAAAGAGACTTCACCCATCCAGCAATCATTGTTCTTGAGGCTGGTTTAACTACGCCTCTCGGTGTAATGAATAAGTGATTTAATACTTTTCGCCGATCTGAACTGAGACAATACTGAAACTAATATTTTCGGATTTTATAAATGATCACGGTTGCTGAAAAGTAACCGTAACGTCGGGAGTATGTAGTTTCTAATCAACAATAAAACGCGAAGTAAAATCCGAAAATATTAGTTTCATTTAAACGAGTATTCACGAAAATCTTAGATCTCATTATGAGATAATACTCTTTTAATCCAAAAGTTCGTGTTCAAGTCTTGAATGGGATGTGGTTTTAATGTTCCGGATTTAACTGAACCGAATTGTAGATAAGTATCTTGTACATAAATCATCAATAGTGGTGACATGTTAAAACTGAAGAGTCATTATTAATCAAGACATTTAATTAAATTTTCATTAAAAACTTAACCAGTCTCTCATGAGTTTCTGAACCAAAGTTTATATTGTTTTTTAATTAACGATGTAAATAAATCACAAATCATACATCCCGACAATTAATCTGAAATCTATAAATGCAATGCTATCAAAACAGTTTTATAACTAATATTCCATATATAAACTTTTAAATTATTAGTAAATATTATTATCGTCGTATGTGAAATTTATTTAATAAAAACATTAAAATAATATTTTTTTTTATTATTCATATTTTTAAATTGTACTGTTACGAAACATGTGTTATAGATATACCTAAAAATACTAGAACTAACTTCACGATGTCGCTGTCGGTGTGCGCGCGTATTGTAGAAATTCATTCTCATTATTTTTCCACCGCGCCAAAAGAAGTATAACATTAAAAAAATAGAACTTCAACTTAAATATAATTCATAAGAAATAAGAAAATTTATAATAATATCTTCGACTTTATCCCAGAAAGATAATAGGCAAAGAAAGCTGTTGTGATTTATGTGTTTACCAGGAAACTGAGACGATTATAATCGTGAGCGTGTTTGGAGGCGCTTGGTTGGTGCTGTTGGTGCTATGTGTGGTCCTTTTCATCCAAGTGGCCAGCCTCAGGAGGAAGGTTACTGACCTTTGCAATAGTGGGAGACTGCGAGTCCAGTAAGTACAAGATATTAGTATTGTTTAAGTGAGGTTTAGGGTGAGGCCGTTCAAGTATTAAGTAAGCAGATTTATTACAATTATTTACCCCCCTCCTTGTCTGCAAAAGTAAGCAAAGCTCTTATCCCCTCCCCCAATGCTTACGTAAACATTTTCAATTACTGTATCTTTTTTTTCATATAAATCCAGAAAAATATTATAATTATATTTTTTTATGGATCTTTTCGATGTGACGATTAAAAAGTAAAAAACTACCGCTGACGTAATCATTACCTAGACTCCTCTACCCCCCATGTCATCAAAAATAAGCAAAGCAAAGACCCCCGTCCCTCCATAGTGCTTACGAAATACTTGAACGGCCCCTGACTAGTTGTGTTATATTGAGGTAATGTTAATATTTTGCAAATCAAACAAAAGGCAGCTTGATATTAGTCATTTGATGATTAAAACTTACTTATGAATCATCATCTTTATCAAAGTCTAAACTGTTCTTTGTTTTTCGGAACAGATATAAATAGAAAGTCTTTTTGTAACGATAAAACTGTGTATTCTGTAATCAGCGAAAACATTTTGCAATTCTAGGAAACTCAAGATGAGTCCAACTAAGGATTTCGCGTTCACCAACCCGGGCCTTACACCTGATGAAGAGTTGTCTCGGCGAGGGTACTCCATGTACCAGGCGTCTGATGATGACTTGGAGAGCGGCCGGGGAACGGAGCGGTATGAAATGATATAACTTATAACACACATTCACGTACACTCATACAAAATAACTATTAAACATATCTAAGGGACTAAAGTGCCCAAGTCTATAAAATTTATTAAAATTTATCTTAAACAGACGTTGTTGAAAACAATCAGAGAGTAAATTTGTGGAATTTATAACTGCTGCAAATTCTTCTCTCAAGTCTCTAAATCATATTCGTGGTACACAAATAGGATAAATAGTCTTCTATGATAGTCACTACACAACCTCCAAAGATCTGTACATATATATTCCTCTAGGCAGACAGACAGACAGAGTAACGAGCAGAATGGACAAGATCAGAGACATGCGAATGGGAAGTTCGTAGATGAACTAACGCGCGAGCTGGACTCACGACAGCATAAACAGCAGCAGCAGGCACCAGCTTTCCTCCTCACCAGCATACAGAACAGCAAGCTCAGAAGAGACAGAGAGAGAAACGGGAGAGAGAGTGAAACTAACCCTAACTTCATTTATTAAATGAAAAAAACATTTTCTTAAACAACCAATACGTTATGGTTACATTCATTGTATTGTATTCCATAGTATTTTAAATGAAACCTTCGAAACTCTCTCGTAATGATGCTTTTGCTCGTTTGTTCTATTACATCTATGATATTGGGTATAATTTAAGCACAGAGGACGCAATACTGTCTTATTTTATGCACAATGTCAACACAAATATTATGAGCGAAAATATATTACTTATTTATATATTAACATATATTTTATGAAGGTATTAAGATTTAATAATAAATTATTTTAAGTTATTTGTGTCTTTTTTACCCTAAAATTTTATTATGGTCCAAAACCCAAAATAAAAGCATTGTATATAAGAAAAGATAATTAAGAATAAACGCAAAATACAAAAAATATATCATTTATTAACGAATCAAATAAATTAAATAACAAAAACAATTACTAGAAAGCTAGTAATAAAATAATTGTACATTACATTTGTGTACACTTAACATAATCTGTTGTAATAGAAGAAATCTATGGTGTATACCATAAATAACTATGATTATTAATAAATACTTATGTATATAAAACAAAGGTGGATATTAAACATCCTAGCTAGTGTAATGATAGCGTATTTTCCTCAAATATGGTCGTGAAGCCACGTGGACAGTTGACGGAGATTTTCTGAACCTAGTAGGTTGTCGCGACTTCAGACTGTTCCCATTTATTTGTCTCACTTTATTCCTGTTCCTGCCTCTTAAATATTTCAAATCGTTTTGTGTCTTGTGTGGTCTTTCGTCGGAATCAGCAGATTCTTGTTTGTTCGCTTCATGGGCGTCCAGAATCTCTTGGATGCTTCTATACGCCTCATCAACTTCCGCGTCTGAATCGTTTTCTAATGTGTTCTTCTGTGTAATTCTGTTCTTTTTGGTCATTTCCTCCAAATGTTTCAAATAGTTATATGTTTCCGGATCGTTTGCTTCGCTGATAGACTTCAAGTTTGATAGACTGATGAATTGTAAAGCGGGTTTCTTCTTTGTATAGACATAATTCAGAATATTTGGGTTATTGAAGTCGCTATAAACTAATGGATTAAGTTTTTCCTTGGTGTAAATTTCTTTTTTGTCGGTCAAATGTATTGGTTTGGTGATATCAACATTGTAAGTAACAGTTGGTGGAAGTTTTTCACCATAAAGGTCCTTATCCGACGTCCTACCGTAGACTTGATCGAATACTTTGAAGTCCTCCGTCCAAAACTGAGATATACCTGAAAAAAAAATAATTAAATGCTTAAAATTTTAATCTAAACAAATTAACACTTTATATACGGTAGCATTAAATTCAATTTAGTCATTGTATTACTTTTAAATGCCGTCAAAAAACCTAGTGTTTGTAGTTTAATATTTCTAACGATACGTAATATGCAATATGACTCATAAATCATTTTGTTATAATATAACACAGTTAGTAATAGTTATTACATACTCATTTACATACGAGTAACTAAAATAAAAGTATCGCTCAACTTTCGATTTCTACAAATACATGTATTACGTTAAAAGAATAACTTAAAAGGTATATATATTGTTTACATTTTCTATTAATACTCTTCACTGTAAGTTACCTTTTTACGCAATTAAATTTGCAAATTCTTAGTAATGGTGGATGAATATTTGGAGAGGATCAAACCATTTGATAACAAAAAAAAAACATTCATAAATCTCAAAGTCATATTTACGGCTAAATAACTTATTAATCACTTAAACTTATTTGGAATATCTCGTATTTGTTTTATTATGTATACATAATATATACATATCTTTATTATATATTTTATCATTAATTACGTATGTATGTCTTCATTAAAGTCTTTCAATAAAATACAAGAAATCGCAGGTTTAATCTCATCGGATCCTTTGTTTAAATTGTTGCTTTGTACATCCAAAAGGTTTAAGACAAGCGATATTTATTAGCTACTTGATGACAAGCGAAAACAATAAACGAAATACTTTTACAGTGACTTGACTGAATTCAAAATAAAAGTTCAAGATGGAAAGTTGAAAACAATTCATAATACGATGAACGCGCAAGTATTTTAGAAGATCGATTATGACTTTCAGATTAGGTACTATGTTTAATATTTGAAAGTCACCAAAAGATACTAATCTATATTATTAGATATTTCATCATCATAAGCCTATCAGAGCCCACTGCTGAAAGGCCTCTTCTCACATGGAGAAGGTTTGAGCATTAATCACCACGCTTACTCAAGACGGATTGGCGATTTCAAACTTATAATATGAAATTATAAGTCCATGTTTCCTCACGATGTTTTTATTTCATCTGTCAGTGGTGTCTAAATACTCTTAGAAAGTACATATGATTCGGAAAAATCACATTGGTACTTGCCAGGATCGAACCCGCGTCCTCGTACACAAGAGGCGGGCCTTTAACCACTAGGCCACCACTAACTATTTATATTTCATATTCAATGTAAAAACAGATACGTAACATATTCATTTTTGAGGTGAGCATTTCTTATCAAGAAATGTATTAAAACTCTGCTGTCATAATCAACCTTCTTAAGAATTAAGATCAAAAAGATCTAGAAAAATAAGTGACAATTAAAAAAAACAACAGGACGAATAAAAATTTATGGCCTTCATCTAAACAATACCATTTTACAAAGTAACAGACGATACAAAGACTTTATAGGAGATGGTTTTAAATAGAGTATCTGAAATTAAAAGACTTTACTTTGAATAACAAGGATCTGTTTTTTCTTTTAATATTAATGTAGTCGATTATGTATTTACATATATGTGTATATTGTGGTGCTTATTATCTATACTAATATTATAAAGCTGAAGAGTTTGTTTGTTTGTTTGAAAGCGCTAATCTCCAAAACTACTGGTTCGAATTGAATAATTCTTTTTGTGTTAGATAGTCCAGTTATCGAGGAAGGCTGTGGGCTATATAACATCACGCTACGACCAATAGGAGCAAAGATTCGCAAATTATTTCATCTTTGAAGCCTTCCGTTGCGTGCGCCGTGAAACCGGTTCAAGATACACAAAAAATATGTATTAAAGAATAATAGCTCTTTTAATGATCTAAAAAACAGTCCCCGACAGTATATGTCTATCTTTTAAGATTAACTCACAAAAACCGTTTTTATGGTACCTAATTTGGTCGAAATAATTTGTTTAAGTTTCTATCAACATAATAAAATTAATCTTTATTCAAATAAACAAATAAATATGTTGTTGGTTAAGAGTACTTCATTATGAATAAAAAAAACATAGGTTTTATCCTGAAAATTCTACGGGAACTCGACCATTCCGAAAACCCCGCAAGAACGGGAACTATGTGGGAAGAACCAAAAATCTGCCAGAAGTCACTATGCCATGCGGACGAAGTCGCGGCAAAAGCTAGTTAATAATATTTAGATACTGATCCCACTGTCATTATTATTTGTACTTATAAAAAAAAATATACTGTTCAATAACAAATGACCAGTTTTTTAATAAACGTATACGACAATACAACGTTGTCTATATCAAATATGCGAGTTCAAAAAATTTTGAAGCTTTCTTTAGGTTTATTTCTGAACGGGCTGGACCGATTTTGAATTAAATTTCCTTCACAGATAGGTATTAAAAACCTATTTTTATTTTTTTATATAATATTAAGGGCAGTGTTCGTAGGTAATTCTATAACCATAGATGGTAATAACCACTATGATTGAAGATGGGATTTTTGAGAAAACAAACGGTAGGTTTCCTTCAAATTTTCCAAGAATCAATGAGTGGGACTAATATCCAGTCAAAGCAAGAAACAACATGCAATAAGCTATTACATTTTAACTTCAAGTATGTAACTAACACTTTTTATTTTTTTGTTTTGTTTATTACTATACCTATAATTGAATGATTAGAAGAAATATTGACTTTCCGATAATTACTCGAAAAATTTTGAGGAACAAATATTAATTTTTATTACGATTTTGTAACATACATGAGGCATTTGGTGTGTTTTTTGCATTAATTATAAAAAAAGGAGTTAAACTTACCGGAAGCTTTCTCCGCTCCATACACATTTGTCAACAAGTATAGACAACATAAAAAACGAAACTTCATCTGAAACAGTGACAATTAGACGTATATAAAACTTTTCATTGATAAATAAAATTAAACATTTAAAGGAGTATTATAATAAGTTATTAATTATTATGTGTACCTTAATACGAAAAAAATTACAAGACCACGTTATATCAAGCACAGAGTGGGTGAAACAAAACTGTTGTGATCGTACGCCACTTACTTTTATATAATCTGTCTTCAACACGGGGATAAGGAACAAGACTACTGAGATTTACTGGCTTGCTACTATGAATATATCTACACAAAAACAATATAATCTTGCATTTATAACATTTATATTATGCATTATATTACCGACAATAAATTAATATGTTTTAAATATTACCAAAATTATTTACCAATGCGTATCTGGAATGAGAATTTTTTTTCGATAAATACCTTAAATATTCTCTCTATAATAATCAAATAAATAACTATTTATTGAAATGCAACTAATACATCTCGTCTATCATAAATAAGAATAAATTTTACTTGTTAAATACAATAAGATTTACTTTATAAATACAATAATTATTATAATTTCCTAGTTAAATACAATAAAATTAAATTCGTCGTATATAAGCCGCACTTCTACAAAGCCACAAGCGAAAGTCAGGTTCAAAAATCTTATAGCGTCCTGCAACTTCCGACTTCCTCACATATCTTGATTAGCTTTATTGAAGCGGGAAACTCATTACTTCCCTATTAGTTATTAGTCAAAAAACCAGTTCACAAATATATTCCTAGTCATATATTTATATGTACAATAATTACTAGAGCTATTTTTAATTAAATATAAAAGATACTTATAATTTCAACAAGGAAACCCAAATAAAATGAAAAAACCATAATCAACTCGGATAAGGCGTATTTAATTTCACTTTCGATTCGTACTTCTATGTGGAGATATTGTGACACCTTTCTTTATATCACACTTTACGGTCTTTTTTATGTTAGCTTGTTTTTTTAGGTATTATAAAAGAAGAAGATGAACCATCTGCAGTGTTCATCTGATAATCTCTATTCTACAGTAATCAAAAAAAATTAATTTAATTTACCCAAATGAGAATTATTAAATACTAATATTTATGAATTATTTTCGATTCTCTCAATTTAATGACGTTAATTTTATAATATTTGCGTATTTTTCCATGCTATTTAAACTTTTTAAATATTTCTTCGTCATTTTTTCATCGATTACGTTGCAAGCCGGACATTAACGATGTTTCCTATGAGAAAGTCAAGCATAGTTTAAGCTAATGACTATTATAAGTACTACTAAAATAGCTCTTAGGTTATAACCAAGCTATTATAGGTTATATAAGGATACTTTCGTATTTATATCAAAATTATAAGTTTAAACTACTTGTATAAATTTTATATATAAAACGGGCTACAGACAAAATGGGTCTCCAGTCAAAATGGAGACCTATTTAAGTCTACTATTTGTTGCTTGCAATCCACTTATTAAAAATACAAACTTATAATTACATAGTAAGTATATTGAAAAAACCCGTTTGCTTATTGTCAATTTAAAGTATGCAACAGCACGTGTTATATTTTTTCGTTTATGGATTATGCTGAAATCGGTGATTTGTACCTATTTAAAACAAGAGAATCGCAATCAAAGAAATATCACTATGTATCTTAAATGTGAAATGGTAAAACAATCTTATTTTAAGTTCGTCAGATTTTTGATTTAAATATTTTTTACATAAATCACAATTCAGACATACTAAATCATCTGGCAAATCGTCATTGTTAACTTTTAGAAAGTCGCTGTAATTTATTCTTATTCAATCTACATGCTAAGTTTTCTCACTTGGATTTTTGAATTTATACATCGCCATAATTGTAATTTTTGTAGTGAAACTTCTTATGCGACTTCCAACAAGGTTGCGTTAAATATTAACGCTGGGGGGGGGGGGGGGGGGGATGCATGTCGCTCTAACGCATGCGGCCAATCAATTGTGACTAGTAAGTAATGTAAATAAAATTTGTCTTAAGGCTGCCTAAAAATTCCTTAAATATCAATTCATACCCCTTCCTGTTTTAATTCCAGCATTACGAAGTTTCAGTTCTTATTCCTTGGGGAACTCTATAAACAATTAATTATTTTTTGAATATTTGAACTTGGTGGACATAATTTTTAATATTTGTTCTGAAATATATAAATTAACAGACCAATCTTTGACTTTTCGGATGAAGTGTTCTCATAAAACAGGCAGTTATTCGTTATTTTTGAAAAAGTATATTATTACATGTCAATGCATTCTATAATCAGTTTTCAATACAGCGGAAGATTCAATTACTAATTTTATCATACATATTTAATTTAAAAACTCCTTCACTACTTTACTATAACAGTTGATTGTAGATGTAAGGCAAATTTAATTCCTTAAATAAAAACATATTTTCTTTGGGAAATATTGCAATATAATACTGATATGCAATATATATTTTTATTTATACTATTTTATGTATTTATGTTTTGTATATATTTATGTACCTACATATAACAACTTTTTTCAATTATTATAATTTTGCTTGTGTGTTTATATATAACTTTTTAATTTTTTTTCCTTCTCTCTTTTTCTTGTACCTACACCATATTTATTTTCTCATTTCCTCTATCAAAAGGGTCTCTGGTAGATATCCCTTTTAAGAGATAATTTATCCTCTCCGAATCACATTTATTTTACAATTAATGTATCTACTAACTTAAGTACATAAATAAATAAATATATGTATTAAAAAAAAATACAAATGTACAAACACTTTATTATAACATAAGACTGTGGGACATTACTTAATAACTTACTTATTTAACATCACAGTTCAGAGTTGAAATAGTAAACAAACAAACGAGATTCAGAATTAAACAAGAGAACTTGATAAATAATGAAAACAAAACAAAAATTGCAATTAAAATAACTTCTACATAATAAAATAACCTCAACATAATATAAATAACTTCTATGTAATAAGTTAGTAGTAATAACTAGTGTGTAATAGTCGTAATACATATAATATGAGTTGTTAACTTTATGTAGTTGTAGTTTCCTTATTCCCGAGGTGTATAGTAATCGACGACATCCCAGTTTCCCCCTTCTCAATGTCAATTTTCAGTTCACTCTTTTTACGTTCAGTGCGTTTCTTCAATTTAATCAACTCCTGTGGTTGTAACAGCGACTTGCCTGATATACCTTGTAGCGACATGAGATTCTTGATCCACTTTTCGTTGTTTATAATCTTAGGATCTGTTTTTATTTTCATTAAATCCTTATCGAGGTCTTTGAGCTCCTCAGCGTGTTTTTGGATCTTCATTTTGGAGTCTCTCGATAGTTTTGTAGTTTTCTTTGTTTGGGAGAACTTCTCATATTGCGGTATTTCTATTTGAGTGTCATCTAAGTCGTCGGTGACTTTATTCAGCTTTTCTATCTCTGACCAGGCGGCTGTGGATGCTATGGAACTTCTAGAAGGAGACATCATACTCGGTTTTGTTCTGCCGGATCGAGTGTCACTTATATCTTCATAGTTTTCAACCCTCACCAGCTTAATTTCCTCGTAACCGAACGGAAAATCGCATTCCGTGTTTTCACACATTAATAACTTCTCATTAAAGTTTATGTAGAACAGTCTTATTTCGGATGAACACAGCGGACAGACCTGGAAAAGGCGGAATATTAAAGTTGTGTTATAATCAACTTAAACATAACTAATAAATTATAAAGTCTTCTTACTCTGGACCCTTCATCATGGACAGTTGATACTGCGTCTGTAGGAATAAGCTGTAAATATAAAAATAATAGGTAAATAATATTCCGAAAATTACAATTTCATTTTATTCATTTATGAGAAACACTTACCGCAGAACATGATCTAACATCTATAGTTAAATTATCCATATTTAGTTATAAAATTAAATACTAAAATCACTTATAGTCCAATAATATCGCTAAAGAGTTGAAAACAAAAACAAATTTCAGCAGTCGATATCAATAACCACATTGTTTTGACTGTACTGGGCATAAAATAAAAATTTGACATTTAGTTGTTTTTTTTTAAAGAAACAATACTTTTATTAAAGAATGCAGACAGTATGAAAAAATATTTAATTATAATCTCAGTTATTTCCTACTAGCATAATAAATTGAAATTAAATCTAGTGATTGATTTTTTTAATAGAATATTATAGTTCTAAAATGAGGAATTTACATTTTATATTTCTATCTTAAATTTAAAAGATAGTATTTATCGAAATACACAAAAATATATATAATATCTAGTGATATATTCTAAAGTTAAGCTTAAGAAGCGAGATTAGGATTTTCACACTCTTATGCCTTTAAACATAATATGTTAATTTATTAATTTTCTTCTTAGCATCTAACGACCATAGTCTGCATTCTGATCTTCCTACATCAGATAAATATTTTCTAAAAATTTGTTACAGAATAAACTTGTTATCCGTAAAAAGTAACAGATATAATATATTTCTGTATAAACTTATTTCTCTATTCTTGTTTACTATATTTTTCTTTTACAACTACTTTAACAAATCTTTCTTAAAGTTTTACTGCATATATCTACATGTACATACTTTTAATATGATTGTATTTAAAAACAATTTACAAAACTTAAGCTTATTTTTAAATATTTAATATTCTGCCAGTGTTCATTAATTTATTAATTCAACAGTTTATACAGAAGACTGTTGGGTGTCAATGGATATTTGACAGTTGACAAAGAAACAACAACTGCGAGACTAGTGTACAGAAGTGAAATACGAATCCAATTTGTGCAGTGTGCATTAACTTCATACCATAACCACTATAAGCGATATTAGTTGCATTTTGTCTAGTGAGTCTAGAAAACGTCGTTTTAGTATCGATTATATATTTTACATTATAAAATCTTCATAATGCCGGCCAAAGCGGTTTGCGTTCTCAATGGGGATGTTAGCGGTACTGTTTTCTTCGATCAGAAGGTATATTTATGTGTTTTTTACCTTCGACCTTAACCTGCACTGACGTAATAATATCTAGAGGTTATAAATATTAATAAGTTGTTATAGTTGCCTCATAATTATATTTTATAATATAGCATCGAAGGTACTTTACATAGTTTTTTCCAGAAGCCGCATGAATCACTTATATTATGTTCAATCACGCTTGTGAAATATTAAAATATATTTTTTAAACGCAGAATGAATATTTTATATGCTTTCGCCTTTGACTTTTAAAACTAATATAAAAAAAACTCAGCGAGAGCTATTATAGCGAAACGAACGATGTTCGTAATTAGTTTGAAGTATATGGAAAACTATTGTTACTAAAGATATGCTTATCTGTAATTAAATAACTTCTGGAACTAATAAGAATCTTTACATCCCTTTTTTCTATCCTGATTCTTTCTTTCTTCCTATATTCCAATAACATCCTGCTAAAAATGTCTGTAGCCTTGTAAAATAATTTATAGATATGTTTTTTCCACTATTACATAAAAACAAGTAACAAGCAAACTTGTTTGACTTTTTATTATAAAAAAATGTTCTAGTATGAGTTACATATAGTTTTTTCACATTAACTTCCTCATCTGTATAGTATAAGATTTTAAACTGTTTCATCTCAATAATTATTATTATATAACCTTTTTAACTATGACTTGAATGACAAAATGTTGCCTTTATAATAACTTCATTATGAAAATATAGTTTCATTTTCAAACACAGGTAGAAAATCAAAATATTTAAAATGGTAAAATGCAAATTATTTAAGCACATGATGTAATATTGGAAAAATAACTAAATAGACAATGTAAGAAATATTTCTTCATTTAAATGAATATAAAATATTATAATAATGTATTAATATATTTACAGGATGAAAAAGCACCCGTTGTTGTGACTGGTGAAGTGAAAGGGCTTTCAAAGGTAATTTTTATACATATTAGGTTAAAATACTGAAATTATTAACTCAATGAAATAAAACCTTAACCTATAAAATTATGTATAATGTATGAAAACATGCTTAATCATATCTATCTGATAGTAATTTGTATAAGTTTAAAATGACCTTGTTTAGTAATTAAATGTTTTACATTATGTTACAATCCTTATATAATTTTTTTTAATTTAAATATTAATTTGATTACAACTTTGAACTTAGTACAAAATTTGTATAGTAAAACTGTTTAATAATCATTTCACATGGAAAAGATTAATTTAAAATCATTGTATCTAGTTTAAAAACAATTTTAACATGAAACATTATCAGCAAGTGTTGTTATAAGAACATTTACTGATAAGGTATCTCTATGAGTTCTAGAGTGCTATTCATGAAATTAACTTGTTACTACTGTTTTGTATTTCATATAACAATTAAAATTAATAATATGGATGATTTAATGCAATAATATGATCTAATTATATAAATCACTTAGTTTTTTATATACTATGGGTTTTTTATTATTTTATTTCTACATGATACCAACTTTTTGATTACTTTTGTGGAGAAATTTTGTTTTATTTAAGTATGTACAAGAGAAAATCTTATATATCACTATGTACAATATTTATTTATGAAATAATTATTTCACCAATACCTAATACTTACACAAACAAATACAAAAAGCAGAGTTCTTGATACTCTTAATATATAAGAAATAAGAATATAAGGAAATGATATGATTCTAACACCAAAAATAATATTTAATTCTATAATAAATAGCTTAAAATTTATTCAGATACATTAAATTTAGATTTTTTATTATTTATATACAAATCTCTCTCTCATTATTCCCATGTGATGGTGGGGTCTGCTTTTCTTTTTATAATATTATACATATATTTATATAATTGCTAACAATTTCTGTTATCAAAGGGCAAGCACGGTTTCCACATCCATGAGTTTGGTGACAACACAAACGGCTGCACATCTGCCGGACCTCACTTCAATCCACAGAAGCAAGACCACGGGGCGCCTGATGCTGCGATCCGTCACGTGGGGGACCTTGGAAACATTGAGGCTGGCAGTGACGGAGGTGTCACTAAGGTATACACGGAATTATTAATAACTAGCTGTTCCCCGCGGTGTTACTCGATATCCGGATTGTAAAGAAGCCTATGTGTTATTCCTGGATGTCAGCTTCCTGTATACAAAATTTTATAAAAATCGGTTCAGCCGTTTGAGCGTGAAGAAGTAACAAACATACACACGCTCACAAACTTTCGCAATTATAATATTAGTAGGATTACATAATACTTGATGGCTGAATGGTGGTTACTGATGGTTCGATCCTGACAAGTACCAATGTGATTTTTCCGAGTCATATCTATTTCTAAGAGTATTTAGACATCACTGATGAAGGAAAACATCATGAGGAAACATGGACTTATAATTTCATAATTATAAGTTTGAAATCACCAACCCGTCTTGAGCAAGTGTTGTGACTGATGATTAATGCTCAAACCTTCTTCATGTGAGAAGAGGCCTTTGCTCAGCAGTGGGCTCTGATAGGCCGATGATAATATATGTATTAGTGAATGTTTTAGTAGTAGGGCTCACAATATATAAGTACATTTGTCATGATAGTAGGTATATTAAAACAATTAAGGTTAAAAAGTTCATATAGTTACAACTACATTGCTGATATCTATAAGGTCACCATATTTATATTAACATGAACAAGTTTTTTTCGTTTGATTCCTGCTTAAAACAAAAGTAAAGCAATCCGTAATAGACAATTAGCTGTTTTGTTATTTGAGCTACGTCTTGGAATTTATTTACTCGGGCACTCTCTTTTCTTTTGGGAAATCTTTTATTAGATTTAGAAAACTGTTACATCTCAGTCTTGTGTAAATAATACTTCCAGGATCAATCACTCTATCAGCTAGAATAGATCATTACTATGACTTGTTAATATGTATTTGTTGGTATTTTAGACGATATGCAGCAATTTCTTTGCTCCATCATGTTAAAGCCTAGATGCTGTACATATTTGTTATGCTTTTAAGAATGTCGAACAAACATGAACAAATTACAAGACTATATAAATATTTTCAGGTATGCATCCAAGACTCCCAGATTTCTCTGTGCGGCCCGAATAGCATCATTGGCCGTACTTTAGTTGTGCATGCTGATCCTGATGACCTCGGCATTGGTGGTCACGAATTGAGCAAGACAACTGGAAATGCCGGAGCTCGGGTTGCCTGTGGGGTCATTGGACTCGCTAAGATCTAAATGAATTACACAGGGATTGTAGAAACATGATGCTATAGCAATTGTTTGTCCCTATATTTCCATATAATGTTGATGATGTATAATTGGTTTGTAAATTATTGAAGTTCATATGTAAATGGCATATATTATAGAAGTTTTAGCTTGTTAATATTTTTCCGAGACTAAAGTATTGCTTTAAGTTCTACAATCTATGGATACCTCAGTGAAAACTGTTTATTGGTTTGTGTTTCGGTGCGGGGTTTGTTATAAACTGCAGCATTTTTCAATAAAATTATTATTTAGGTTTAATTAATTTGTATTATTTTTAGCATTTATTTTATAAATAGGTTTGTGAAATAAAAAATAGATATTGTTATGTAAATTTTAATTCTGAAACTGAATAAATAGATGATAGACCATTGTGAAAAAAAATATTGGTAGATGAGTTGTGAGGCTGAAAAACTTTTGGCACACTCGGAGTCCATTGCCAGAGGCTGTCTTCTATAGTTTGTAGACTTATACACATCCAGTAATTATTGATCTCCCGAGATCTAGCATGATCGGATAATAATTGGGATGTTTTTATTAATGTATTAGGAGTTAAGAATCCCTTTACGACTAAGATTGAGATTCTGGTTGTATCTATAGGATCATCACATTCTGGTTCACAATATGAGCTCACATAACTTTCCGAAGGTGTTATATCAGCTCGATGAACTAACATACCCATCCATTGTACAATTTCACCGATCTCGCTGTTTATTAAACTCGGTATTGACTTAATATCCGGTTTAATTCTCTCTACACTTAGGCTTTCACATGTGACTTTTAAATTTCTATCACAGAAATATTTGGCTATTGATGATGGGCATACATCTTCATTATCTGGTTGCCAATATATATTAAAGTTAAATGATTGTAATATATCACATGCCCTCTTTATTTTATCAGTGATTTTAAGGTCTTTTAAGTTTATCTGCACCTGATAGAAGTCGTAAAGGCATTTTTTACCTTCTAACCCAAGCCTCTGGTAAAGAAATCGTAAAACATGAAGAGTTAATAATCCGTCAGGAGTTAAAGCAATACAGGAATCTGTCATACAGTTTGTATCAGTTGATAAGCAATATATTTTTCCTTTCTTTACGAAACTTTGTATAAACGTTGGCTCCAAAAATTCACTGAGTGGGCAATTATAAATCTTATAATAATTACTATCGTCAAGTAATGATTCCTCTATATCCTGTGGAATGTTTATTTCATCTGGGCACGTTATGATAACACTTTTGTAAAAGTTATTTAGTTCAACAACTTTAATAACATTTGGAAAGTCTTGATTTTTTTTGATAAATGTCTTTACTTTTGGAGCGGGAAAGTCCCACACTTCGGGGCACAACATCTTGGATTTAACGAACCATAAGAGTCTAGATACGGTTTTGTTGGAAAGTTGGAAAATACAATGATAAAAACTTATAAGTTTACATATATTAACACACGTGTAAAGTACCGCATACTGAGTTTTGACTTATGAATTGAAATTATATGGCTGTCAAGTGTAACTTTGATTTTGACACATTGGTTGCGTTCCATTAAACATTTACAAGTTCCACTGTCAATACGAAAGAACCATAACATAGTAAAGATGTTATGAAATATAACTAATAAATATAATAAAAATAAAATTTTAAAGTTTTCTGGTGCTAGCTGTGGTTGACACCACTGTAATGAAGTTTCGGTGCTTCACTTGTCTTTCAGGCTGGTAAAGGCTGATATAGAAATATTTTTTTTACGTCCTTACTCATGCAAAGTACTAATATATAACAAAATAATAACTTTTTAAATGTTAAGACTTAATTGTTTATATAGAACACTAGTTAAAGTTAATAACATAGTAGAAACTATTTTCAATACTTTACAAGACTTGCCCTTAAAATCTAAGTACGCTACTAAGCTTTTACGTAAACGTTGATAAAAAAGTACTGTAAAAAATATGTAGAGCGTTCCCTTTTTATGTAATTGTTTGAAGTATTTGTTTCCTTCTGATTTAAGTTGTATTCTAATTTCTAACATCTACATATTCTCATAATTCAAGTAAAAATATAACAGATACAGGTTTGTGGTGCATAATGAACGTTAAATAGGTGCAATTAAAGCCTGTTCAATAAAAATAGAGTCCAGAACACTTAAAATTTATTAGTTTTGTCTGTTAATAACCTTTGTTCCATATAAGGTCGTAACACCTTTTTGTAACACCTAATTTAAAACGTCTTTAAGAAAGTAAAATGTTAAATTACTAAAATTAACACTATCAGGTATGAAAAATATTTCAGCTTGTGTCCGCAAGACTGAATAGAATTATTTCAATTAGAAGAAGTTTATTAAAACACAAGGTTTCATTATCTGGGAAAAAAGTTTTCGAGTATGCTAAGCATAAAAAAATAGAGTTATTATTAAATAAATCTTATAAAATTATATTCAGATAATACATCCCATTCCTTAGCACAAATTGTATAGATTATATATTTCTTACTTTTAATAAATTTTTTTACTGGATGAAAAATTCCTCAGTGGGTACAGCACTATACAGCGTGTTCACTGCTTCAACTTCTCGGCTAACGACAGCTTTGACTATTGGAGGCGCGATTTCTTCCATAATTTCTTTCCAATTTGAGTTCAAGAATTCCAATACTGGATCACCTGAAAAATAAATCATGATTTTTAGGTTTGCATAAAGATAGGTAATAAAATACGTAACAAAATAAAAATCATCTGTCAGATTGTTTGACTACTTTAGCCTGAGGGGTGTAAAACTATATAAATGCTCAAACACACTTCAAAAAGAATATTGTTAAATCAGATTATAAAGAACATAAACTAAAATCCTATTTAAATGTGTATCCGAAAATTAAAAAGATAATCCATCATTACTAAGGTTTCATCTTACACAAATTCGATACATATTCTCAACAAAGTTTTTGGACTAAATTAGATAAAACCAGCAAGGAGAGACAAAACTGCGAGTAATATTCAATCACTATCTAATATGAAGCATTCGCGTAACCAAATTACATATACTTAGATAGATTTTGCTGTGCTAGCGTAACTGAATAGATAAATACTTTTTGTTTTCAAATTCTTCCCATCAGTCGTATACTGAACACAGTTTAACATGATCTACTTGATACAGCTACTTTTTACTTTAAGCTAAATCTTATTTTATCGACCACGATTGTCATACAGTAAATGTTCGTTCCAAGAACGATATTTCTCATCATATATAAAATTGTCTATGAAAAAATTCGTTAATTTTGTGTCGGACATAGTGGAATAGGTGTTTTGAAAACGGATGTCATTTTTTTTATTATTAATACGGTTTTATAAACTTTTTCAGATAATGAAAATTAAAATATCATTATTACTTGTATGTACAAGTTATAAAAATATGCTAGTAGCTAGCTATGGAACGACACTATGTCAATATTTTGAGTTAGTTCCAAAAACTTAGTAGAAAATTAATATTTCGTATAAAATATATTTTTTTGTGTTGAAAACCAGGTTTCATGATAATTGGCCAATAAACCAATGTAGTATTTTAGTGATGTCTAAAATTTGATGATTAACATTTAAGGTGCATTAGAAATGTGTTACAAGAACGTCTTAAAATTCATGAAATATACGTGAATAATAGTAATATAATTTACCAAGTACTTTGTTCCCGTTAAATAGGTTATCAAAGTGGAAGGTAGTTCCGTGGTGCACTTTGAATTTGAAGGTCTTAGACCAATCGTCGTCGATTTTCCAGTGAGAGACGCCGGATTTTTGAACATCAGATAGACTTAAGTGCATTTCGACTGTGATGCCACCTAAAATATACATTTATTAAAGAAGAGTAGCTCATCGTATATGTTGTAAGGTATAAAGAAGCTACAAAAAATTATGAAACACATATTGTCATGTCTTCAGTCTATCAGAGCCCACTGCTGAGTAAAGGCCTCTTCTCACATGGAGAAGGCTTGAGCATTAATCACCATGCTTGCTCAAGACGGGTTGGTGATTTCAAACTTATAATTGTGAAATTATAAGTCCAGGTTTCCTCACGATGTTTTTCTTCACCGCCTGTCAGTGATGTCTAAATACTCTCAGAACACATATTATATGTATAACTTTTCTCACGTATATCTATTTTATATTTTCCGTTTCCCTCCATTGGTAATATCAGCACTTGTCCTTGAATCTCGTAGTTTCCACTCAAAATACCGTCACAAGTAATTTTTATGTATTGCTTCTTTTTAATGTGATCATGCCTGGAAATTAAAGAACCTTGAAGTCTAGTGGAATTAAAATTTTCAAATGGATATGACCTAAATAATTATAATATTATTCTTTTTCTATTTTTGCGACGAAAAGTTTGAGTAAAAGTTCTATAAAGTTTGCTTCACAAAATTAAGCTTAGTGACTTATTAATTATGGAAAACAATAGTCCTTATTTCATCGAGGAGAAATCTATTAAACCTCATCATTTGCTACTTTGAGTACATTATCATATTATAAACTATTTGAGATAGGTTTGGGGGCTTAAGTGTACATTTTTAGTTACATCGAACTGGGAACGGAATAGTTCAGATCAATCCAGATACTATAATCTTGTACCAAATTGCTAAACTAATTCCTAAGATCTAAAAAGTGATTTTATTTTTTTGGATTATGTATTTTTCTTCTATGAGTGGTCTGTATATACAAAAGGCGGGACCTATGATAGCTTATACATATATTTGAAACGGTCTCTCACTTCAATTCATCAACATGACATCCCGACAAGCCAGTGAGGGTCGAGTTCTTGAACTTCAGCTTCAATCCACTTTCATTACTCACTATTAGCGGTATGTACATAGGGTCAACGCTCTCTACTCCCAGTTCAGGTATACCTTTCGCTAATACTGGCAGAGAGGACTTGGCGGACGACAGAATACAAGCATCGTCACCCAGCTTACATAGTGGGAAGTAGGATGCAACTGAAAATAGGACTTCTCTGATTATGTTAATTCATACGTTTGAATGTAGTAGAAGGTTTATATATTTAAAAAATGGCAATAGTTTTGATCAAAAATTATGTGGAAAAAGTTCACTGTTCTACTTTAACACAGCATATTATATTTTTACCTATTATAACAATTTTTTTAGTTTAGTTCTTTTTATAAAAAGTTCAATGAAATTTGAATGAAAATGGGTCACTTTATTTTAATTTTAAAACACTATTTTTGATCAGCTACTGACACTTGGGATGTCTCTTTAAACTCAGATTTTAGATCGATAGCGTCTAGGTGCTATAACAATAGTAACAAAACCAAGGACTTAAGGTTGCAAGATGAAAAACTAGGAATAACAAGAATTAAAATATTACAGAAAAATACTTATGAACCCACCCGAGGCTTCGCTAGAAGTTAACACAAAACACAACACGGCAACAAGTATTAACATTGTGATAATAAAGTAGTCACTACTTGTTGCTCTGAGATACACTTGTGTCTAGATTAGGCTCCGAACTAGGACTGTGAATAAAGCCTTGATCCAATGCATTTAAGTTCTTCTTTTTCATACGAAATTACACAAAAAATCTGTATAATTTATGTTAAAATTTAGTTTTTCTATAAAATTATATTTTATTTTAATGTATATCAAAACATACTTAGACAATTATATATTTTTTGGAAGTTAAAATATTTTTTGCATTCTGAACAAAGTCTCATCTTGTAATGAAGATTACGGATAAAAAATAAATATTAAAAATAATAAAGTAAATTTCCTAATAGTGGTTAAAATATGTTAAGGGTGTATATATTTGTTGATGTTTTATTCTCTTTAGTCTCTAGAATTTAAGAAAGAAATGCACAAAATTTATCAGAACTAGGTTTTTCAATAATTTGGAAATGGTGAAGAGACTACAGTATCTAGGATATACTGAAAATCTATATAACTAGTTTGGTGACGATTATTCTGTTGGTTTTAAATACAGTATATACTCGTATATATTTTCATAAAAACGTTCAAAGAACTTGGTTTTCCATCCCCATAGTTATAAAACAGTAAATGGTAATTCTTACCAATATCTCAGCCAAACTTGTAAAAATATAACTTTATTAAAATAAAACAATATATTTATGTGAAAGAAAAAAGTATAAATTATCCTACATCTCAGTGTTCCAGTGATTCGTTTCGTAATCACAGTCTGCAACTAATTTTACATACTGAATTTTCTAACCCATATTGTTCATAACTTTTTCCTGTTTTAAATCTTCTGCAAGTTTTGATGTCATTTAGTTCATTTTGTTGTTGTTATAAATGAATTGTTAATATGCCTGAGCTTTGTGATCCATGACCCAAGTGGCTGCCAGCGGTTAGTTTTTAATGTTTATTATTTAATTTATTACTGTAATTTCTTGTATGCATAATAAGTGCAGACTTAATTTTGTATAATGTTGGTAAAGACGTAATAATTTTAAATAAAATAGTCAAAAGATGGCATCTTCATCAGATTTATAATAAATTACATGAACTCAAAAAACTCTTAATATTTGATATTCAAGTTTTATTTCATTGTAAAATAAAAATGCGTGATTTACGTAATAAAATGCATAATAATTATTTTTTTATAAAATTTTGTTTCATTTTTAAAAATCATTATAAGAGTGATGAATATAACAAAAGGATGTTTGTCAGGTTAGTAGGGTGGTAAAACTTAAAACTGTTATTGTAAAAAGAGTGCGTACCTTGTAATATAAAATCAGCATTAAATAACAGGTATTTTTTTTGGTCTCAGTACATTTTTTTACATCTGTAGACATCAGCATAGACTTTTTTGTCTAGAAATGCCTACTAACATCTAGTTTCTAGAGCGTGTAGAAGTTGGGGTATTCAAGTTGATTCCGACGCTGTGGCGTCATTATATTCAAGACTTAGATAAATACTAAAGAATGTGATCTAGGCATATAAGAACGCTGCCTCTGTAGGACATAGAAGACATACACTGAGTCTCTACAGAGAGTAATAGAAAAATATTTATGTTATTCTATTCACATAAGCCAATATTTCAGATAATAATTTACGTCAATTATATAACATTTAAGTTAAGGTTAAATAAAAAAGTGTTAGACTACCAAAATTTAATCAATTGGAAACTTTAATTCATACTTTCTTGAACCAAATATATTTTAAGTTAAAATTATTTTTTAATTCCTGCCTAGCATTCCAAAAAATTTGCTTGTTTATTTTCGTCATAGCTTCTCTTATGAACACTGTATTGTTATTTTTCTCTCATGGGAAAATATAAAACACTTTAATTTTTTCCCTTTTAGCTGCTATTAACCAATTTTCCTGCGTAAGTTCATTTTTGAGTTCAACTTTTATGTTTGCAGTCTTGTCTTTTCCAATTTGAAGTCATTGCATAGGTATTTTGTATTCCATTCGTTTTTACTTTGAGTTTTGAAGTGATCTTTTCTCCTAATTCTTTAGCATCCTCATTATTATTGTGAGCCATAACAAATTTTTTGGAATGCTAAGCAGGAATTAAAAAATAATTTTAACTTCAAATATGTTTGGTTCAAGAAAAGTGTAACTAAAGTACGAAAAGATAAAGGTTATACTATCATTACATCTCGTCATACTATTATTACAAAGCATATAGTCGAGTCCCGCTGTCAAAGGCAGTAGGGCTAACAGCTACAGTCAAGATGAAACTAATATATAAATACAGTTCTTTAAATACTCTACATTTTATTAATGTTTTTTTTTATTATTCCTGGTTATAAATTTTTTGTTAAGCGCTTAACTATCCGTGACTGCACGATTATGAAAATATATTTGTCTGTGAGCTTCCAACACTCGGTTTCCGTATAATTTTTAGCAAGATATGTATAATTTAATATATTTATGAAAAATTATATTTAAGCATGATAACACATAAATTAAAATGTATTTTTTTTCTTCCTGATTTTTATATTTTGATTCATTTTTTTAATAATTTTTATTGAAGTTCTAGTCACTGTTGAATTGCGATGGACCGGGCACCCGGAAGGTGAAGCATGGTGAAGTCTCAGAACAAAGCTGAGAAGTTTCTTCTCTTGACATCCACCATCACCTACAGACTAATTCTCTCACTCTCTTAGTAGACTCAGAGACTCAGTCTATGTCTCATATGTCCTACAGGCAGCATTCTTATAAGCTCAGATCACTTCTTCTTCTACCTGGCAATTTCCCAGCTATAGCCAGGGTCTGCCTTACATGTTGTGAATAGTTTTGGCTATTTGTTTTTGCGACCAGCCGCCTGCCTGACATCAACCCTCTTTTGGGAATCAGCATCAATCAGTGATGTCTAAATACTCTTAGAAAGTACATATGACTTGAAAAAATCACATTGGTACTTGCCCGGGTCAGGATCGAACCCGCACCCTCGTGCATGTAAGGCGGGCCTTTTTTTAACCACTGGGCCAACACTGACTTATATGCTCAGATCACACTCTTTAGTATTTATCTAAGTCTTGAATATAAAGATTCGACAGGGTCTGGATCAACTTGAATACCCCAACTTCTACACGCTCTAGAATATAGATGTTAATAGGCATATTTCTGGACAAATTACTTTATGCTGATGACTACAGATGTAAAAAAATGTACTGAGACAAAATATTAAAAATTGTTAAACAGTCTTGTTTTCAAATTTGATGTTTTATTTTTTCTTTTCCAATATTTGGAATCTATATTTAGAAACTGATATTAATAAACGTTGACTCACTTAATATGCATGAGTTTTGGGGGGAATGACCTTTATGAATACCAAAAGTTTAGTTTTTGCCTTTAATAAAATAAAAAGGAGGTTGCATGCGTTTTAAATTTGTACCTTCAATATATATATTAATTATCTTTGGTAATATTTAGAACATTTAATTTGGGAAACCAAAAACAATCCCTGATTGATTTAATGATTAAAAAAATAAATATTAATTATCTTTGGTAATATTGAATACATATAATCTGGGAAACAAGAAACAATCCCTGATTGATTTAATGATTTTAAATCTGTAAATATGCTGTAATGATCACAACTGTCCAACTTTATAAGAGAACTGTCATTTCTGTTGCATTTATTCAAGGAGAGGAGAATTACTTTCAACTAATAATTGGTTTTAGTGTTTATATTTTTATCCACCAATTTTAATATATTATAGTTAAATTTCGATTGAATGATTATGGTTGAATTATTTATTATATATTATGACGTATATTTTTATTCTTTAACATACATATATATCAAACATATTCCTCTTGTCTTGCGTTATAGATTCAGGAGTCCATTGAACTGCTTCACCCTGTCTGTAGGCAGCCAATATTCACTGCGTAGTCTTCCAATGGTCGTGAACAATGAACTTTCAGAATCGCTCTTGCTTTTCTTTTAATGCAGGCGCTATGAAATAAACTGTCCTCAGCCATTTGCTCAAATGGCTCCAGGACATGATTCTTCCAGAGAGATGTGAACTGTTATTTAGAAGGTTAGTATGTGCTTATCGTACTTCTGGTATATCTTAACATCGGGCGGCCCCTACGATCCTTTACCAATGATCTAATATAAAAAGTGATAACTGAAAATCTTATCCCTGACATTGTTAAAATTAAATTATAAGACTTTATTTCTATCTTTAAATACTTACTATATTTATATCTATTTATTAACACAGGTATTTAAACTGATATGTTATAACACTCAATTTTAAATCCATTTTTTTAAGAAAGCTGATTTCTTTCCATACAATGTAGGTACAACATACTTTTCATTTTTCTTAATCAAGAAATATTAAAAAACAAATTAAAATCGGTATGTCTCAAGTATTAATGTAGTTGTAAAGTTTAAGAGTTGGGTTTGACGAGTTAAGTTAATTGTATCATAATCACGAATGTTATTTAAAATCTTTTTATCAGAATATACTTTTTGACGCTTCCTCAGTATAATTAAAGTTTTAATTAATTAAAAAATCATACCCATCGATTAATTTATGTCCTACTAAGACCAGTACTTGGGTATCGCTGATGAATAAATTAATTTGGTAGATGTGGTCTCGTTGACAACCTTGATTGTTGAGGAAAAGGGAGGGATGGGAATAGGGAAATAGCAGGAAAGGGAGGGAATAGGGAAAAGGCAACCGGCTCTCCCACTCATAGGACGAAACGCAGCCACCAAAGGCTACTTCACGCCGATTTTCTGTGAGAGGGTGGTAATTCCAGCCCATGTTCGAGCTGTAGTAACTTGACTACAGCTAGGCTCTACCATCACACTTTACTCGTTTCACTAAAAAGTTACATAAGAAACTTTGGCAACAACCAAACTATGGTAGATATAAAGTTATTTGTTTTTTTTTTAATTTGTTTAAGAAATAAAGACACAATAGATTTATTGAACAACTAGAGAGTAATCAGTACCTACAATAACC